ACCCAAATCTTACCTCAAAATAATTAAAGCCCCAAAATTTGGGGAAAATTCATGATGCTCTTTTTCCTGCATATCTGCTACACAGCCCATGGCAGGGTATGATGCACTAGTTAAGCGTTGCAGACTCAGTTCTTCCAGATTAAATGCTGATTTAAGGTCTAAAGAATTCACACTCATTAGGAATCCCCAGACATTTTCCTTGCGAGCCATCTTCTCCCTTAAACTATTCAGTGATTGCGGGATGGATGGATCCCAGGAAGCAAGCGTGTATAGGCTTTAGGCAATACACTGGACATACACCCCTTGCCTAAAGGCTTGGAAAAGTTTCTTGAACAGGGGCTGGCAACCTATGGCCTCAGGTGGCAGGGCTAGCAATCAGCAGTGTTTAGTGAGGGGAATCTGCAGCACAGGGTGGCAAATGCCAGCAACCGAGGGGCAGTGGCCCACCTTGGAACTGGGCTGTGCTAATCTGGACCAACACTGGTAGAAGGTGGCCCACCCTTGCTCTGGAAGATAAGGGTACTTGGAGCAAAGGTATAATCCAAGCTTAACACAGGCTGGTATGAACTGACATTTCTAATGGATGGTAATTTTCTGACAACTTGGTTCAAGCAGGACTGTGCCTAAATAAGAAACAGCAAGAGAGTAATTACTGTACTGCACCAAACACCCAAAGCAGGTACAGAACTAGGATCCACCAGTTTTAACCAGAAAGTGATGTACTGACAGGTGTAGAGAGTTAAGAAGAACCCAAGAACATAAAAAGTGTTATACCGGGTGAAGACCAATGACCCATCTGGCTCAACATCCTGTCTCCGACTGCCCTGAATCCAGCTGGCCCATACCCAATAGGCCCCTCTAACAACAGGGGGAGCTGACCATTACTCTGTGGACACTAAACCCGTATTTCCCCTCTGCATCAAACAGGCCTATCTCTGAGGTGGCAAGGGTGGATGCAAGGAGAGCACTGAACCAACAGATGTTGCACAGTGGTGGTTGAACATTTGGCCTCACGGGCCAGGTGAGTGGTATGGGGCCAGTCTGTAAGCTGGACCAAACAACACACCAGGCTTGTGCCTTAGGAGCCTCGCCCTGCCTCTACAAGCTAAGTTAGGGCCCCAGGAGCCTGGTGCCACATCCTCCCACCACCTTATGCGGGGATTGGGCCCTGGCACCATGCTTGCCTGACCCAACACACAGGACTCGTAGCTTCCCATGGGTCTGGAAATTTGGTGGTGGGGGAGCAGTTCCAGCACTCCCGCTGCCAAATTTCCAGGCCTATGGGGAGCCCCACAGGCCAGACAACAATGCTGTGGGTTGGATTAAACCCTCAACATCAGAATTAGGCCCTGGGATCCTGGCACTGACCCTGCATGCTGGGCTTGGGTCTCAGCACCGCATACTCCCACCCCAACATGCTGGGACTGGGCCTTGAGACCCAGCCTGGCCCAGCACACTGGGATCAGGCATCTGACCCAGTGAGTAGGGCTCTCCACAGATCTGAAAATTTGGCCATGGCGGGAAAACAGCACCACCCCTCCCCTGCTGCCAAATTTCTAGACCTGTAGGAAGCCCTGTGGGCTGGATGACAGCATTGCAGGTAGGGAGTTGTGCATCCACAATCTAGAGATGCATCCCTATTCACTACCTTCCCTGGCACCCACGGTTTTAGTCAGAGATGCTGGAGGAAAGCCTCCAACTTCCTGTCCAACAGCCCTCAGGGGATCCAAGACCCCTGAATTTCCCGGGTCCCTGCCCAAGCCTGGCTGCACCTCCTTTTCGGGGGGCCACAGGTCCCACAGGGTGACTGACCAGCTGTCCTGCCAGGTTTGAACTCGTCTCCTGCTGGCCCCCTATGCCCCAGCCAATGGCACCCAGGGAACACCCCTCCCGGCTTCACCTGAGCCTGCCCTTTCCTCCCCTCAGGATCCACAGGAAGGGGGGAGCCGGGCTGGGCTCGGACTCAGGCGCGGGCGGCTGGGACACAGGCAGCAGCTCGGGTGCAACCATTTTAATGTGCTCCGCGCCCCCAGGG